TGTTGATTATAGTCACTTAGTTTTCCCATTATATCAAAGTTACACCAGACCCCTAAAATCCAAAGTCAGTAATGGTTGGAACAAGGTTAAATGAAGATCAAGCTGTCCATAAGACTTGACATAATGTGTGATCTCACATTAGTGTAAGCCATGGGGTTGAAGTGTGGGACAATTACGTATGCTCAACAGTTTCCCTTTGAAAATCTGCCAGGCAGCTACTATTTTTCCTATAAATGAAAACCTGCAGATACATTTTTTAATAAAATGGAGTGCTCTTTTAACCTATAGAGAATAATCAATAAGTTTACCTCAAGAATACTGAATATTTTCCAGGAAAACCTAACATGAAAACACAGACCTCAACATATATTTCAGTCCAAATTATCTCCCCTTTCAAATCACTGTAAATTTAAAAGGTGTATCAGACTTAATTGAAGGGTATCTAGATACATCTTAATTCTTATATTATCAATTAAAAATATAATAGTGGCCCTTTTCCACATATTTAAATCAGAGGCGTTCACCTGAGCATCTGAAAGAACTATTTATACTTAGAGGTTCTGTTCCAGACATCAGTCCTAAAGGAAAATGCACCACAACGCCATAATGGAGGGAGAGAAGCAGCCAAGCAGGACTAGAGTTTGGCCCCATATAACCCTGAAGACATATGAATATGGAATTCAATTGTTGTTAGATTACATTGCATTTTCAAGAACACACTTTTCTGAAAAGATCAGCTTTACAGGCTAGATTATAAGGTATGCTAATAGAACCCTCTTTTCAATTGCTACCAAGGCTCTGAAATAAATGAGGATCATGTCTTATTAAAACTGGAATGGGAATTCCGGCCCATAAGAAAAATTAAAAGTTGCTGGGTGTGGGGGGGTATCTCAAAAACCATTTCTATATCATTATCCACGAAACTGCATACACAAGGTCACATAATCACCAGGATAGCATTCAGGCTTGACATAGGAGCATCTTTGTTTTTTAATACATCTCCACATAACTGCCCTTAAATAAAGTTTTCCCAGAGTATGGCTGCCTGTCATTATGCCGCTATCAGTTCCTTGATGTATTTCTGTATAATATGTAAAATCAAGCTGGGCTTTAATCACATTTCTGTAACTGCCATCTTGATCTTTTTGACATTGCTGGCAGTCGAACACTATTTTTTTAATTATGAATTGCATTTTATTTTCTATTTTGTAAGCACATTTGTAGATACAACAATGACAATAGTATCATATAATCCTGTCGCCTAAAGACTACCTGCTTCCCGTTGTAGGCAATAATCTCTAGAATGTGATGATCTCTGTGTTCTATTAAACTTTTCATCATTTTGAATATACATTTAATGTATATATTTACATACATGTGAAGTATAGATGGTACAGGCCCAAAGGAAAAAAATAAATAAAAATAAATAAAAAAATAAAATAAAATAAGCAAAGAGAAAAGGATAAAATACCTAATGTAGAAAATAAGAACTGGATTGTCTTTCCTGTGAGACCTGTTGGCTTCAGGTTATTGTTTAACTAGCCATAAATAGGTCAGGTAGTGAAAAGGGATAAAATGGAGAGAAAATAAGCTGATTTGGTTAGGGGCAAGACAAAGCTTTTGCTCAGAAATACACACACACACACTTTGAAATATATATGGTATGTGCAAGCTTTGGTTAGGGTGAGGTAGGTGAGACAGGAGAGGAAAAGGACATAGTACGAGTGCTTAGAGCTAACAGAGCTGGAACACCCCTTCTTCCCTGTTGGCAAAGGCTACTCATGAGCAAGAAGTAAAGGAGACAAGGCAAGAGGCTTTCTGCAAAAAAAAGTTCTGGATTGTGAGTTGGCTACTTGGCAAATGAAGAGCATGAGGAGCTGGAAGTTCCACCTATTATGGAATTGGTCAGTAGATTTAGCTGTGGTGGTTTGGAGGGCTACCAGGACTAGATTGGAGATTTAATTCAGGAGGGAGCCTGAAAGAAAACCTGTCAAGCGGGACTTGACATTATACAAATCACAGGTAATGCTCAACCAAGAATCACAATTGGACTGGAACCTCCATCACTAAGCAAGGTGCTTATTAAGTGAGTCATCCTGTAACTGTCTATGATTTTATATTTTACCCCCCACAAAGATGACCACATGGTTTTTAAGTGAATCCAGGTTCCCCCAGTGACTTTGCTTGTCAGAAGGTGGCTGGGAAGTTCACAAATGGCAGTCACATGACCTTGGGACACTGCAATCATTGTAAATACATGCTAGTTACCAAGAGCTCAGATAGTGTCTAAGACGATGTTGCAATGATCATAAGTACAAGGACATGTCATAAGTCAGTTTTTTCAGCAGCATTGTAACTTCAAGTGGTCACTAAACAAATTGTGGTAAATTGAGGATTACTTGTACAGAGAGTATTTGCAAGAGTGGAGGGGAATTTATTTCCTACAGAAATGTACTGTGTTTTTAGGGGAGGTTGTTCAGTTGATTGTGTAAGAGTTTCCCCCCAGCAAAAACTGGAGAATTCATCCCAATCGAATTCAATTTTTTAAAAGATGTTTGAAGTTATAATCTACTTGCATGCTACTGTTCATGCTATTAACATTGACCTCTGGAGGTGGAATATGTTTTCTTATTGGATTCTCTTGAAGAAAAGGAAATCATTTCTTAGAACCTCCTTGACGGTGGAAGGGGTGGATGGAAAAACATTCCATAAATGCTGAAAAAAGCCTATTTGAAGATTCTTTACGGTAAATCAGCACTGGTCTTTGTCTTACCACAGAGGCTATATAAATCTATAAAAGGCTCCACTGGGGTCACCTACCTCTTTTTCCCCTACTGGCTGTGGTAGCTAGCGGGATGCAAAAAATTAATACACACACACCCCCATATAGTTCTGAACAATTATGGGTAGTTGAGTGAATGTTGTTGCTCTTAAAAATTGGTAGGGGAGCATAGATGTGAAATATGTTTTTACAGTAAAATAATTCCCTGAAGAGAGAGGCACTCTCGCACAGTTGAGCAAGAACTGGAAAATGATTAAAAACAACAGAAAAGTAGGAGCAAGGGTTTTGGTGAAAGGTTTTATGGAGCTACTTCTATGGAACTGAAATATTATGATGGCTGGGCATGTACTGTGATAAGTTGCTTGGGAAATAGGGACCCCAACAGTTTGTGGAAAAGTTACAGAGTTTTTTAAAAATACAAGGTGAAACGTGGGAACAGAGAAGGAAGATTCTTAACTAAGCCTGTGAATTATTATTCTCTGCTGGACCCTTTCTGATAAAAAAAAAGATGTTAGAAACCACATCATGATATAAATGCTTTGCTGGAGTAAAGCGCACCCCTGTTTTTTTGGGGGAAAGGATTGGTAAGGGATCAGGGTGTGTTTTGTTTTTGCTACTCAAATAACAATAGATGAAATCTGTACAGATTGCAGAAAGTTTTTAAAAATCTTGCCCTGTTGTGGTTATGTCCCTGTCCTCTTTCCAACCACATGCTGCTGCCCAGGACTCATTGGCTATTTTAGAGGCAGGGAATAGCATGTGGAAGGTAGAAAAATGGCTGCATCAAATTTAAAATACCATCCACATCCTGGCTAAGAGAAGTAGGGACACACCCTGCTTTTTCTATATTAATGAGGCAAATTAGGAAAGAATCTTCTCTGGCTCTTCATTAAAGAAAGAGTCCTTCAGGTGCTGGGAGATCAAAGCAAAATAAATCTGTTGAGTCTCCTAATTGAATAAAGTTTACCACTATACCCATTATATTACACTTTCAGAAGGAAAATAAGGGAAATAGCATTTAGAGTTACATACATTGTATATACTTCACAGTGCTTTACAGCCCTCTCTGAATGGTTTACATTGTCGGCATACTGTCCCCAACAATCTGGGTCTTCATTTTACCAATCTTGAAAAGACAGAAGGCTAAGTCAATCTAGAGCCCTGTCAGGATCAAGCCCCAGACTGTGGACAGAGTCAACCTGCACTATTGCATTTGAATGACTGAGCCACTAGGGCTCAGTGGCTCAATACCATACCATACTGTTTACCATGGCATTTTAAGCTACCATCTAAATAAGGGGAAACATGAATAAGCCAATTATGAAAATACTGGCATGTCAGATGATTACATGAGTAGATAATTTCAAACATTTTTTTAAAAACAAGATGCGGATCTAAGCATCACATTAATTGGTAACTTCTTTGATTCATACTTTGATTCTGATATCCCAACATCTAGCTAATTTGATATATTCTAGTTGAAACAATGTAAGGAGGCAAGTGGCTTTTGTTAATTTTGTTATATTGCTTTTTCCTAAGATATTTCTTTGTTGGTATTCTAATAACTGGAAGTTTAAAAAAGCACAATAAACAAACAGGAGGCAATCAGTTAAATGTAGGTTCACTGCATGAACCACTATCTGGACACTATTGAGCATCTATTGATCGATCGATCTAATCTTAGATTATTAGATAGATTGATGGAGAATATGACAATATTTAAGTCATCTAAAAGAGACTGATTCTTAGTTAGTCCCACTAAAAGTAATTAAGAGCCAGTTTGGTGTAGTGGTTAACATGCTGGTGCAAAAATTGGGAGACTCTGAGTTCTAGTCCAGCCATAGGCATGAAAGCTAGCTGAGTGACTTTGGGGCCAATCTCCCTCAGAGAGTTGTGGGAGACAAAAAAAAATGTGGAAGGCATATGGTGAATGCTTGTCTTCTTGCATTATTCATAAAGTAATAAAGGCAGGGCAAAAATCTAGTGCATAAAAATAAATGAAATAAATAAATAAATGTTAGAGTTGATGGGCTGATGGTGGCGAGGCTTCCCCCTCGGAATCCCGAGCCAATTGGTCTTCAGCAAGGTTCGGCTCTAGGTCCTTGTTCTGGACGAGGCAGCCCCACCTCCTGGATTAAGTGATTGGCTGCCCCTCCAACCCCCTCCCGGTCTTTCTCTCCCTTCGACTTGCTGACATCTTCCCAAAAGAAGGGGAATCGGGAAGCGCTAGGACCAAGCGGGCTCGAAGAGACCGCTGGAATCTCTTCTGTGCAGAGTGGTTGCTGCTGCTGCTGCCGCCGCCGCCGCTGCCGCTGCCATTTCTTCTCGCGTTCCCCGCTTGGAGAGGAGAAAGGAGGGGAGAGGGAGGTTACTGACGCTGACTGGACTCAAGCGCTGGATTGCCAAGGACTCCCACTGCCTGCTGCTTCTGCTTTTGCTGCTGCTGCTGCTGCTGTTCCTGCTCTGGACAAGTGTGGAAAGCAGAGCGAGGAGGGGCGGGGGGAGGAGGAGGAGGAGGAGAAAGGCAGAGGGGGAACTCAAGCTTGAAGGAGAGAAGGAAGCCCCGAGAAAGAAGGAAAGGAGCCGCTCTTCTTCCAGAGTCTCCATGGCGCAAGGAAAGAGGCTGAAGCCGAGGAAAGTGTGAGGCTCGGGGAGGAGGGAGACCGGTTCGTAACTTTCCGACGCCTCGAAGACGTTTGAGAAGCCGGGAGGAAAAAAAAAACCCCGCTTTCTTCCATGCCCCGGTCACTTCAGCGCTTCGGAAGATTCAAGGCGCTAATTCCGGACTCTTTCTGGCTTTCCTTTCCGAGGTAACTTTTGGGAAGTCTTGTAGCCGCCGCCGTTGGTAGAAGTGCCGGGAGAAGAGCGTGGAGAGGGTGGGGTGGGGGTGGGAAGCCTTGGAGGAAGTCCTGAAGGAGAAGAAAAGAGGGAGAAAGTTTCGGCTGAAAACCCGGCGGCGATTTTTTCTCTCCCCACCCCGGTCCTCAGCGGCTTGTTTTTGAGGAGGCCGGGGGGCGCAAATAAAGCGCCGAGAAGATGACCTGGAAGGGCAGCTGCTGCTGCGGAGGTGTCCGAAGCGGAGGAGATTTTCTATGCCTGCTCCTTCTCTTGATGGGTTTCCTCTTGCCCGCCTGCAGGACTCGCTTGTACACCAACCACTGGGCTGTGAGGATAAGTGGCGGGCTCCAAGAAGCCAACCGGATAGCGAGCAAGTACGGCTACATCAATATAGGACAGGTAACCTCCTCGGGCGGAAGGCCACGCGCTTTCGCCCTGCAGCCTGCGCGGGTGAGGGGCGAGCGGCTGCAAGTGCTGGTGCTGCGGCAGGCGCGGGAAAGGGAAGCGGTGGGCGCCCTTCCCTCTTTCTCTCTCTCCCCACCCTCCCTTCCCTGTCATCTCCCGCGGGCAGCCGCGGAGTTTATGGAAGCAGGCGGCGCGAAGGGCAGGTAGTAAACTAGCCGGGTCACGTCCTCCCCGACTTCCTTGGAGAATTGAGCTCGGCGGCTAAGGAATTGGGAAGAGGGAGAGCAGCAGCGAAAAGCAGCCGGTTTGCAACGAGAGAGTGGAAGGCAGCGCGAGTCCTGGGGCGACGACATAGTTTTGATGCTTCCGAGCCCGACGGGGAAAGAAGGGGGGGGGGAAATTGCTCGGCCGCCGCTTGGGGAGCTTTCAGGCAGCCGACCAAGAAACCTGTTGGGGGTTGCTGACGAGACCCGAATTCGGGGGAGGGGAGGGCTTATTTTTGAGCAAGCGGGGGCTTGCAGGAGAGTGAAAGGGAAACTTCTCGCGTTAAAAAAAAAAAAAGCCGAAAAGGCGCACAAATCTGCTACTTTGGGTTTCTGTCAGCAAGCAAACTACCTGTTGGTTGACTTGGAAGCCCCGTGGCTGTGGCGGCGGACCTCCTTTGTGCGTGTTCAAAAGCACTCATTACTCCCTAATTGCCAGGTTTTGAGAAGTCTCCTTGAGCTCAGTCTCCATTTGAGGATTTCTAGGAATCCTAAAAAAACCCTCTCCTTTTTTTCCTATTGTATGCTGTGAACATTTTTTTCTTATTTTTCACCTCATGCCACTTGATCAAGGTAGCACTGGGATTTGCAGATACTGTGTGGGCTGGAGATGTACAAATGGGAAACAAGACATATTTTGTGGGGCTTCCTGGGTTGCAAAATTGCGAAAGGTGACCGGAGGGATTTCCTTGTGGGGTTTGGAAACCTTGGCCCCCTCCTTGTTGGAGGAGTTTAGTCTACTGCACTTATTCTGGTATTTGTTCTCCCCCTATTATAATTGTGGCATAGCCATCAGGAAGACAAAAGATTTGGGAAAGTAACAGAATTTAATAAACAGCAAGTTAAAGCTTTACTGTCTGTCCCGGATTTCCCCCAATCTCAAATCCTCGTCATGCATTGGAATAAAATGGCCATCATCCTCAGCCATATTGACTTGGCTGCTCCCCATGTCTTGAACTCTTCCCTAACTCTTTCCACAGTGAACTTTGAGCCCAGCAAATGGAAACCAAGTATTCAACAAGCAGATGGAGTGTGTCCCTCCTCGGGCAAGGGCCAAGATTTTGCCTGAGTCTTTGCCAGCATAACAGGGAAAGGGAGGAGACAGGGATTAATTTGTAACATAGCTCATCAGGGGCAAGACAGAACATTTTACTGCTGAGATTGGCCCTTTCCAAAAGGAAGACAACCTTTGAATTTAAGAGGACACCCCTAAAAGAGTTAATGCTTTCATATACTTTCCCATTTTAAGACTGATATATGGGAGAGGTGAGATTAAGGAACTAAACTTCATTTCAGGTAAACAGAAAACATGAAGTAGAAAGGAAAGCATGCGAAGACTGATTCAGGTTTTTCCCCCCTAGAGGAGACGTGGGAACTCCAACATTGCTCTTCCAAAGGTGGTTTTCCAAAAAGTAATTGGACTTTCTTGGGTTTTTTCTTTGAAACTGTTTCCTTTTTCATCCAAGAAGCTTCTTCAGTTCAGGTTGTTTCTTGGATGAGAAGCAAAATGTTTTTAAAGAAAAAAAAAACCAAGGAAGTCCAATTGCTTTTTGGAAAACCACCTTTGGGACAACCACATCCTGGATGATTGAAAATCTCCATAGAGACCTAACTTTGCTCTCTTGCTGTAGAGTTGGTGCAGAACCTTTGGGCAGCTGACAGGTTTAATCTATCATTCTTTCCTTTCATAAATTGCCAAATAGGAACTTTATCTGACAGAAAGGTAAGCAGTAGAAAAAGGAGAAATGGTAAATTCATGAGAACAAAAATAGTTCTTACTGGATCAAATAAAACTCCTGATCAATCCAATATTTTGTGTCCTGTTGTATCCAATTAGAAACATCCAAGAAATAATCAAACAACATCATATCAGTGGCACAGACCTCCAATGTTTAGAAATGTTTTTTAAAAATCTTGGTGACAATACTGATAATGACTAATGGTTATTGATAGCTTTTAGTTACTTATTTTTGTTGTAACATATTTACTCATGCCAATTGTTAATGTTAACTTATTAACTTCTCATGAACAGAAGTCCAATGAAATGGGGAAATATGTTCTGCAAAATAACATGTTGAAATCATAAAAAATTATTGAGGTGAAAGGAATGGAAAAGAACATGTTCTGAGTTGGTAGGAAATGTTTTGTACAATATTTATTAGTGAATGCTGTACAGGCATAAGTGTTTTGGAAGAAGCACTTAGTGATATTGCACTATTTTAATTCTATATAAAGGAGTGGATTAAGTCTGTCTAATGCAGGTGTATTTGGGAGATTTAAATTTGGCTTTGGTTCAGATGAGTTAAATAAGTTGACACTGATCTGGTCTGAGTCATACTAGCTAGTTAAGAAACACCTGAATTTGTAGAATCCACAGATGTTAACAAACACCTGGATTTGCTAGACCCAAAACGATTAAATAAAAAAGTTATTCTATATTCACAGGTATCTTGAATTACTTGCTCAAGCAATTCAATAAATTTAATTAGAGTTCATATGTATACCAGTACTACATATTTTATAACATTTCTAATATTAATCAAATATTTCTAGAGAATATTGTTTTGGGCATCTGTACTGCCTGATAGTTTTGTTTTATTGTGATTTGTATATATACCTCATCTCTGTCTTTTCTAAAGATAAAATAATTTGCACTACTTCCGTTAAGAATTTTTAAAATTAGAAATAATGGTCATGTAAAAAAGATTCAGTTTTATAATAAATAATATGGATTGAAATCCTAAATTATAATGAATGCTCTAGTCTAGAACATAAAATATTGTGTGATGGATAGAAGATTATAGAATTGTTCCACAGCCTATTGACCCAAGATATCTGTTCTTTGTATTCCACAGAACAGTAGATACTCCAAGGATATATTTTGACTCACTTATTTTTAGGACAAAATAACAAAAGTAAATGACATTTACTTTTAGTACAAAATGAGAGACCAGAAAGAGAGCAATTACATTGTTAGATTTCTCCTTCATAGATACAAGTTCTTCTTAATAATCATTTTTCTGTAGAGCTGTACTCAGAAATTCCATATAAATAAGCATTATGTCCATTTAGTACATGAAATGCGGCGACTTTTTTATACCTAATTGAATACATTGATATAGTGCAATCATTTACAACAAAACATGTAGCCATTTTTCTCTTGTCAGAGTTATTTACTTTTGGCAAATTAAGGTTGCCTTATAAATTGAAAATTTTCATACTGTTATACAAAGCATATTGTTAAACAAAATAGCATTGTAATTAATTTGTTATTTTTATTCTATGGAACCAAGAGAGCACAAAAAATCCATAACAAATGGAAGACTGCCATCTTTCTATATTTTGAAAGCTTTTTTTCCCACAACCTCTGTTACATTCTTCTAATATTAAGATTTTCCCTCTTTTAAGTTTCTAAGCCAACAAGCAAGAAATTGGAATAACACTACAATATTTCCTACCAATGTTATATATACATTGAATCCCTTTCAAGAAAAAAAGAAGAGAGAGAGGGAGAGTCTGTTTCCATTAGACTGAATGTTATATCCTATATATTTTCTGATACATGTATAAATGAAAGTATTATGATTATAAATAGATATTTCAAAAACAATGTTTAGAGAGTCCAAAAGAAATCCTCCAGAATGGACTTTTTAAGGCCTACAGATAGTCCTCAATTTACACCCACAATTGGGGCCAGAATTTCTGTTGCTAAGCAAGGCAATTCTTATGTGAGTGGGGCCTGATTTTTACAACCTTTTTTGCCATGGTTAAGAAAATCATTGCAGTTAAGTGAATCACATGGTCATTAAGTAAATCCAGCTTCCCCATGACTTGCCTGTTGGAAGCCAACTGGGAAGATCACAAATGGTGATCACATGACTCTAGGATGCTGTGACTGTTGCAAATACATGCCAGTTGCCAAGCACCCAAATTTTGATCATATGACCCTGGTGAATGCTGCAATGGTTGTAAATATGAGGACTGGTGGCAAGTCACTTTTTTCAGTGTCATTGTAACTTTGAATAGTCACCAAATGAATAGTTGTAAGTTGAAGACTACCTGTAGAGTGATAAACATTTGCTATGAACTTGAATATACCCTTTTTCTGACTTAATTGAAGCTTCCACTTCTATTTTTAAATGGATAAGAATTCCCTGTAAGGTCCAAATGCAAATGGATTAGCTTTAAAAATGACCTTATTATCTTTAGTTTTTCCCAAACGTCTTCTTGCTTTTACCTCTTTAACCATAATATTATGAATGTAATGTAGAACTCTAATAATTTTTAAAGTGGTGGAAATTTCCTATGTCTTCCCCCTGTGACCAAGATAGAAAATGAGAGGAGAAAGTAAAAATGAACAGTCTAAAGCTCATTCATTTAATATGAAACTGATTTAACACGGCATACCTATTGGCCAGCATGATCTGAAATAACTTCCTAAGATGTATCTTCATGTGCTGAACTTGATACTTGTTCACTGAATGCAAAAGTAGCAAAAGCTAGGAAAGGATCTTGCATTTTTGGTAGCCAAAATAGACTAGTTTCTCTGTGTACGTCTATGTTTATATTCCTGTATCAAGTGCATACATGTAATCCAGGCCTGTTAAACTGGCGGCCTGTGGGCAGATACAGCCCACGCAGGCTTCACAAAGGCAAAAAAACACCCTGATACATCATGATACAGCCTGTGATGCAATCAGATTTGACACCTCTGATGTAATCTTACCTGTG